TATGTAGCCATAACAACATTCTTTCTAGAAAGCCAAAGTCATCCTTTGTCTCTGCACCTCTGCACCTGGCCGGAACTGGAGGGGGGGAACTGCCAGCATGGCAGTGGGAGACTGGACCATGTGGTGGGCTTGTGTGTGGAGGGGCAAGATCTTGAACTTTCAACCGGGTGGGGAAAACCGGGAAGCTTTCAGATTCGGGTTTACCCAGATGTTCCAACACGGCTCTCTTCATAAATTGGGACTTTGAGCAATACTTTGCCACGGACTCTGATTTAATTTTAGATGCTATTTGGAGCCCTGACAGGTAGTCCTTGACTTACAACACTTTGTTTAGCGACTGTTCAAAGTTACAACGGCACTGAAGAAAGAACTGTTTTTCACATTTTTCAGCATCCCCATGGTCATATGATGAAAGTTCAGACGCTTGGCCACAGGTTCATATTTAAAACCGTCGCTGCAGCTCCACTCATGTGAGCCTCACCACTAATGTTGTGGGTGTTTGTGCGCACATGAGCACATGTGAGCTCAGGTGACCTTCTGACAAGTGAGGTCCATGGGGAGAGCCAGATTCACAATGGGGTTACTCGCTTAGCAACTGCAGCAGTTAACTTAAGCACTGGGGCAAGAAAGGTCGTATAATGGGGCAAAACTCACTTAACAACAGAAATGTTGGGCTCAGTTCTGGTCGTAAGTCTAGGACTACCTGTACATAGCTGCCCACATAACGACATTCATCTAAAACAGGCTGGACAGAGAGTGTATCCTGAAATGTCCTAGATGCTGTGCCAACTGTGTCCCGGGAGGCAGCTGACGCAACGGAGCTTCTACTCACTGTTGAGAGCCATGTTGGAGAGCCCCTGGAAGAACGCAATGCCCAGACCCAGGTTCATGTTGAGGCGGCTGGAAATGTCCACTTCAGTTGCGTATTCTCTGCGAGGAAAAGAAACAAGAGAAATGGAAAACTCTGGCAGGGTCACAGCATGGCGTATGCCAGGGGCGCCCAACTTTGGCAGGTTTTAAGATCTGTGGACTTCAACTCCCAGAATTCCCCAGCCAGCAAGGGTTTACCAGGAAGGGTAGGACAAGGACAAGGACAAATGTGGATAGACTACTTTACTACCTCTGTTGATAGGGAAACTTTATTAGTAGATGGTGGGTATGTAGTGAATCTAATATATTTTTCAATAGGGAAACTCTATTAGTAGATGGTGGGTATCCAGTAAACATAATGGGCCCTTGTGACCTCTAGGCTGGAATACTGCAATGTGCTCTACATGGGGCTGCCCTTGAAGAGCATCCNAGGGAAAAGGGCGGCATATAAATCCCAATAAACCTCTAAACCTCTAAACCTCTTCTGGAACTCTGTCCCATCTCCACACAGGATCTCCAGAGCTCAGTCACAATACCATTGGGTTCTTGGCCACCTCTCTTACTAAGGCCCTTGTCCCCCAATTGCTCAATTTGACTAGGTAACCAGCTCTTGGAAGAGTCCTGGTTAAGCCAAACATTTTCCATTGGAGGATTATGGAGGCCACTGTGTTCTTAGGAACCTTCCCCAGATCTGTGCCTTGCCATAATCCTCTCCCTGAGCTCTGCAGACAGTTCCTTTGACCTCATGGCTTTTGCTCTGCTTCAGTATGCATTGTCAGCTGTGATGCCTTCTAAGAGAGGTTTGTGCCTTTCCAAATCATGTCCAATCAATTTAATTCACCACAGGAGGACTCCAATCAAGGTCTACAAACATGTCAGCAATGATCAAGAGAAATGGAGGGCACCTGAGCTAAATTTCACACGTTGTTGTAAAGGGTCTAAATACTTACGCCAATGTGATATTTCAGTGTTTTTTTCTTCTTAATTATTTTAAAATTTCTAAAATTCTGTTTTAATTTTGTCATTATGGGGTACTGAGTGTAGATTAATGAGAGAGAGAAAAAGGACTTCCAACAACTGTAGAATCAGGCTGCAGCATAACAAAATTGATAAAAGTGAAGGGCATCTGAATACTCTATATATATTTAATGTGCATATGTATATACATAAACTACATACATGCATGCATACATATATACATACATCTACATAGATTCATATATGTAGTATCTGCATACAGAATTAAAACAACAAAATGCACATCTGCACATGCGTAGCATGTTTTAAAAGATAAGATTCTTTGTAGAATTTCCCTAATAATAATGTCATGTAAAGACGAGACTTCTTAGAGGGTTTTTACAGGGCTTTTAAAATCAAATTTTAAGGGGGAGCCAGGGGGGTGATACGGATTGCTCAGACAGGCTTGCGGGGGGAGTCTGCCAGGGCACAGGCCAGAGCTAACTAATGGGCACGGGTCAGGAGTGCTGGGAAGGGTTGGGATTCCAGGGGAGACATTAAGCCATTCTATTGGGGGGTTCACCATCTCTACTGTTTGTGGGAAAGGTGGATATGGTGAGAGCCGAGGGTCAAATTATGTTCGGGGGATGTGGGTCCGCTGTTTAAGAGCGATCATGCGTTCTAACCCTCATCACCCTTCTCACACCCCTAGGTGCTTGGGATTACAGGACCCTGGTCTCTGGCTGGTGTTGCTTAACGCCCGGTCCATGGTACATAAGGCTCCCCTCATTTATGACCTCATACAAGAGGATAGAGTGGACCTGGCGTGCATTACATAGACCTGGTTGGGCCATGAGGGGGGTGTTTCCCTTAGTGAATTATGCCCACCAGGCTTCTGGGCGTTTCACCAGTCAAGAGCCCAGGACAGGGGTGGCGGGGTG